TGTCTCTAATTCTCTTCCTCTTTCTTATTATCTCTCTGTCTCCGTCTCTTTGTTTGTCTGTCTGTCTCTCCCTCTCTTTGTTTCTCTTTCTTATCATCTATCTCCACTTTCTGTCTATATCTCTTTCTCATGACCTACATCTCTTGCTCTTCCTAATTATTAACCTCTCCTTTTAACCATCTTCCTTTCTTATCATCTATCACTCTCTCTGTTTCTTCTTTTTTTTTATCAATTATCTCTCCGTATCTCCGTCTTGCTTTCTTATCATCTTTTTTCTCTTTCTTATCATCTATCTCCCTTTTCTGTCTATTTCCCTTTCTCATAATTTATCTCTTTGTTTTCCTCCATCTTCATTCCTCTCTCCTTCTGTCTATTCCTCCTTCTTATCATCTATTGATCTCATGATGCCTGGGAATCCGTCCTCTTCTCTATGGCCGACCGTTTACATACACATTTTTACTTTTATATCCCCCCTCCCCCCTTCCTCTGCTCTCCCCCACTCCCGGAAACCAGAGAAATCATAAAAAAAAAACTACACCAATGACAAAACAAAGAAAAACACTTCGGAATAGAAAGAAGAACAAAGAACAGAGAACAAAATAACAACGACAACAATGTCCAAGTGGAGGCCTAGGACGAAGAATAATATATATATTTTTTCAACTATACCAATGACAAATCAAAGAAATACACTCCGGAATAGAAAGAAGAACAAAGAGCAGAGAACAAAATAACAACGGCAACAATGTCCAAGTGGAGGCCTAGGACGAAGAATAACATATTTTTTAAACTATACCAATGACAAATCAAAGAAAAACACTTCGGAATAGAAAGAAGAACAAAGAACAGAGAAAAACATTTCTGAGGGGGATAACAATATAACAACGGCAACAATGCCTAGACGAAGAATAATATATCGTGAAAAACATCCGAATAGATAGGGCCCAAGTGGATAGAACGGAGTTTTTCTGCTGGGGATGCGCCTCGCCGTGCAGAGATTAGGGAAGCCGGGAGTCTGCGGTCCCCGACATGCCGAGATTCATTATCCAGCGCCGGGAAATGTACACACATGCACACAGAGAGAATACGTACATACGTAATGTAGATATATACAGGCACTCACATGATACATACATACATACATACATACATACATACATACACACACACACACGCAAACAACACACACAAACACACACCACACATATATTATATGTGATGTGTGTATGTGTGTATGTATGTATGTATGTATGTATGTATGTATGTATGTATACACATGCATACATACATACATACATACATACATACACACACACACACCACACACACACACACACACACACACACACACACATACATATATATATATATATATATATATATATAATATATATATATATATATATATATATATATATATATATATATATATACACATTCCGACACGCACCGGAAAAATCCCCTTATCACAGCCCGCACATCCCTAACGAGCGGCGGGCGGCGCGTCCTGCAAGCAGAATCCTCGGGCGGCGCTAACTGGCTCCCCCAACTGGAACAAGCCGGGCCCCGCTGCTGTAATGGGTACAAATTAGTACCAAGGGAAATCGATGGAGTCTGCAATGGCGCGATACCACGCTCGCTTGCCATTTTTTTTCCGGGGGAATGGGAGTCACGTGCGATGCAATGGTACCTCGGTGTTCACTTCGGAGAACATGCCATTTGTGTCTGTTATCCTTATGATCATTATAATTATCTTCATTATCATAATTATGATTAATAACGTTATTCTTAGTATTACTACTACCACTATCATGATCATTCTTATCATTATCATTACATATTATCTTCATTAGTCGTAGTATTCCCAATACTATCATCATCATTACCATCTGTATCATTATCCTCACCATGTTCATCATCCTCTTTAAAATCATCATTACCACTACGATCATTATCATCATTATCATTAAAAATTACCCCAATGAAACCTCGATATTAATAACCCCCCCCAAAAAAAAAAAACTTAACCCAAATGAAACCTCGATATTAATAAAACAAACAAGAAAAAACAAAAATGTGCTCTCCCGCTGCTATGAAACCTGGAACGGGAAAAGCTGCTGCCTCGCTGACCAATGCTTGCCTCGGTTTCCTTTTATAAGGTCAAAGGTCAGGGAGAGGCGGGCCGATGTTCTGCCTCCTCCCTGACTTTCCCCCGGACCCATGCAAGCTCTAATGCTGCGTGTCTGGATCGCGCGGATGTATGTAACAGGGGCAGCCATACTCTGTCTGTCTGTCTGTCTGTCTGTACACGCACACGATAACATAAACACAAGACAAACCAATACTCATAATCCAACTACTCATGTCTTATGCATCTCTCTGTCTCTCTGTCTCTCTCTGTCCCTCCGCCCCTCTCTCTCTCCATCTATCTATTATCTACTCTCTCTCCCTCTCCTTCTCTCTCTCTCTCTCTCTCGCCCTCTCTCTCTCCTCTCTCTTCTCTCTCTCTCTCTCTCTCTCTCTCCCTCTCCTCTCCCTCTCCCTCTCCCTCTCCCTCTCCCTCTCCCCTCTCCCTCTCCTCTCTCTCTCTCTCTCTCTCTTCTCTCTCTTCTCCCTCCCTCTCTTCCTCCTCCCTCCCCTCTCCCTCCCTCTCCTCCTCCTCCCTCTCCTCCCTCCCTCCCCTCCCCTCTCTCCTCCTCCCTTCCCCTCTCTCCTCCTTCCTCCTCTTCATCTCTCTCCTCCCCTCTCTCATCTCTCTCCCTCCTCTCTTCTCTCTCTCCCTCCTCTCTCCTCTCTCCCTCCCTCCTCTCTCTCTCTCTCCCTCCCTCTTCCTCCCTCTCTCCCTCCCTCCCTCCCTCCCTCTCCCTCCTCTCTCTCCCTCTCCCTCAGGAACGAACGAAAAATAGACACAGACAACCCTCAAAGACCAGAACACAGCCCACAGCAGGAAAGATAACGCTGTTATTCCATGCCTTAACTTCATTTTTGTTGACGTTTCTGCGTTTGTCATGTTACATATGAGTGTGCATGTAATAGCGCAGTATACATGTACACCTGAATGGATAAACGACCGACTTAACATGTATATGACTTAAGGTGTACATGACTCAAGTTCTACGTGACGTAACATGTACATGACATAACATGTAGACGACTTAACATGTACACGACTTAATATATACACAACTCAACATATGCACGACCTTGCACGTACATGGCTTTTAACAAGTACACTCTCAACACATAAAAAAATCGTTGCTTTCCGCTTCCGCATAAACAAAGTACACACGCAGGGCACTTAATCAAATCAATAACTACGGTTGTGTCCTGAGTGCAGTTGAATAAAGAGCTGAAGTAGTTACGGTTATTGAACACAAACAGTGGCCTTTAATCCTTAAATATTGTAAAGCAGTAAATTTTATAATGAGTTTTGCTTACATAACTATGGCACTAAAATTGATGTTTCTGACATTCAGCATATATATGGAAAGGATCTTTGTTATCGAGCATTACTTCTTGTAGCATTTACTTACAAAGAAACAAGCAGTATTAAAAAAGAAATGAACATGGAAACAAATAGTATTAAAAAAGAAATAAACATAGAAACAGGCAGTATTAAAAAGAAATAAACATAGAAACAAGCAGTATAAAATAGAAACAAAGAAGCAAGCAGTATTAAAAAAAGAGAAAAAAAGAAACAAGTAGTATTTAAAAAAATCAACAACAATGAAACGAGCAGTATTCAAAATAAAACAAAGTAACAAACATAATACAAAACAGAACACACACACACACACAGACTAAAAGACTGAAGTACCTTGCATAATACATAAGCGTGAAAAAGCACTTCCAGAACCCGAGCTTCCCCTGACCACCCTTTCCTTCCCTTCCTTCCCTTCCCTCATCACCATTTCCTTCTCCTCCCTTCCGTCTTCCGTCTCTCCTCACATATCCCTTCCGCCTTCTCTCATCCTTTTTTCCGCTCCTTACATTTTTTATTAACTATTTCCTCTCCTCCCTTACCTTGCCCTTTCCCTTCGTCTTTTTCTCGCTTACCTCGCCCTTTCCCCTTCTCGTTCCCTCCCTCGCCCTTTGCCCCTCTCATTCCTTCCTCTTCTTTACCCTTCACCCTCTTTTCCCCACTCCATTCCCCTCCTCTCATTCTCTTCCCTCCCCTTCCTCGTTCTTTCCCATCTCTTCTTCCCTCTTCCTTTTGCCCCCTCTCCTTGCCCTCTTCCTTCCTCCTTTCCCCTCCCCTCTTCTCTCCTTCATTCCTTCCCTTTTCTTCCCCTCTTCCCTCCTCCTTTCCCTTCCTTTCACCTCCCCCCCCGTCCCTCACCTTTCCTCCTCTCTTCCCTTTCCTTTCCATACCTTTACCCCTTCCTCTAACTTCTCCTCTCCCTCCTCTTTTCTCTTCCCTTTCTTCCCCTCTTCCTCCTCCTTTCCCCTTCTTCACCTTCCCCCCCGTTCCCCACCTTTCCCTCCTCCTCTTCCCCTTCTCCTTCCCCTTTCCCTCCTTTTCCCATCCCTTTACCCCTCCCCTCTAACTTCTCCTCTTCCCTCCTCTTTTCCCTTCCCCCTCTCCTTCTCCTCTTCCATCCCCTTTCCCATCCTTCACCCCCTTCCTTCCTCCTTACCCATCCTTTCACCCCCTTCCCCTAAACCCCCTTTCATTCCCCTTCCCCTCTCCTCTCGCTCTCCCTCCACCCCTTCCCTCCTCTCCTTCCTCCCTTCACCCCTTCCCCTTCCCCTTCCCTCCTCCTCCTTTCCCCACCCTACCTCCTCCTCCTCATTACCCCCCCTCTTTCCCTCCCCTCTTCCCCTTCACCCACTCATCCCTCCTCTTCATTTTCCCCCTCATCCCCCCTCTTCCTCACCCTTGGGTATGATGGAGAGGTACTGCAGCTTGGCCTCGGTGTTGGAGGGGCGAAGGAGGGGCAGGTGGTGCAGGAGGTCGGCCGCTCCACCATCTTTGGCCTCCGGGATCTGGCTCACCCACG